GGGGAGGTCTTTCTATCCAGAACAGGAACATGCTGGATAAGGTGACAAAAACGGGTAGGAAAATCATTAGATCCGATGTGAAAAGCGTCACAAATCTTACTGACCAGTATACCCTCAAGTTGGCACTGAGGATTCTGGAGGATCCATTGCACCCACTTCACACAGAATTTTCCCTCCTCCCCTCTGGACGTAGATTTAGAATGCCCCGAACTAAAACTAAACGACACATCACTTCATTTGTGCCTAGGAGCATTCAACTACTTAACGAATCAGTTATGGGCACATAGATTTATTTTGAATGTGCATTATTGAATATGTATCTATTTATTGATTCTATTAAGCTGTGGAATATTTTAGAGGGTTTTTTTTTTTTTTTTTTTTTTTGAAGGGTATTACTGAATATATATATTTATTTACTGATTTCTTAAGTGGTCAAATTGATATATTCCATGTCACTTTTGCCTTTATTCTTCTTTTATTTATGTTTATTCTATGTTTTTTGTGGTTATGTTTATTATGGTTCCCATGAGTGTATAACAAATTCCCCTTTGGGGCAATAAAGGTTTCATTCATTCAAATAAACAGACAGACCTGAGCCAACTTCCATATTTTTCAGATTTTGGAAGATGTGTGGTAACAGTTGAAATTGTTGTCGTAAAGGCAAATCCAAACACACCGCAAATCCAAATGTAGACGGTCCCTCTATGTCACCTAGCAGCAGCAGCGCTTCTGGTCAGACACACTTCTGGTGTGCAAAGACAGAAAACGCGATGCAGCCGCCACACAGCTGACACGCTACAGAAACACCACGCTCACGCCACGCAGCCAGTGCGTCTCCGGCCTTAGTTAGGCTGACCTGCGAGTTTACGCACCACGGGTTTCAGATTCGACAAAAAGCCACATCATCTCTTCAAACACTCAATGCCAGTGGCCCTCATTTATCAATCTTGCGTAGAAACGGGTGTATATGTTGGCGTAAGATTGTGCGTACCTTTGAAATCTAGGTGTAGGCAATGCCTGCCCTTAATAAATCCCGCGGCCGAAAACGATCGTCATTAGAATAACACGCCCCTAAATATTCAAGTCTCCGCTCCCCCCACACCCTCATTTTACGCCATGGACACACGGAAGACGGCAAAGAAGAGAAACTTCTCTGACGTGGAGCCGAAATGACCTATCACAATGCATTATTTTACAGCACGTCTTTTGAATTAGCATTTAATTTCGAATCATGTCACATGTATAATAGTGATGATGAAGATGTGATGTGAAGTACCATTCATTCACATTAATAATTGCATGACAATTTGTAATATATTCTTCTTATTATTATGATTTGTATTAATGATGCTTATTGTTATTTAGAAGAAGGATGTCGTTATTATTATTTGTATTATTATTATCATTTAAAAGAAGAAGAAGAACATATTTTTTATTATTTTGTCAGTCTGAATTATTTTTTGGTCATTGAAAGCCTTTCATTACCGAACCCAGTCCGTGCGCACCTGAATTAAATTAAACATTGAAGTTCACGTTACACAAAAATAAACACTGAAGTTTATAATTACTATGTTGTTGTTTTTTTTTGTTTGTTTGTTTTACAGTGGGTCATATATCATATCTTTTAGTTTGCCAGTGCGTTTTGTGGTGTTAGGAATTTTTCTGCGCATTTCCTCACTAACTCAAAACGTGCGTACACCACCTCCTGAGCTGGTGTAGGATTCGAGCGTGCCGTACGCCCACGTCCATATTGATAAATCTCAAAGTCAACGTGGTTTTGAGTGTACGCAAGGTGTACGCTGGAAATTTGGTGTACGCACTTTTGATAAATGAGGGCCAGTGTGTGGATGCATGGGCTGAATTTAACATTAGGAAGGAGGATGGCTGAACACCCAGAATGCTTTGAGTGAAGGGCATGTAAAAGCAGTTCAGGAAAATAGGGAATACCTGCGAGCAGTTGTTGAATCATTGTGAAAATTGCAGAAAAAGGTCACAGAGAAGCGGAGACTTCTGTCAACCGAGGCAACTTTATCGAGGTGTTGCGTCTTATCGGCAAGTTTGACAACGCCGTTGAAGAAAAACACTTGAAAATACCCAAAATGCAAAATACCCACACCATGATATACTGTACAAAACGTTAATTGAATTAATGGGGAATATGGACTAAATAAGTGGCAAGATTGAAGAGGCTTTACACCGGTTTCACACTGTGCGCGTCAGCAGTGTGTATGGTGCAGCACACACACGTGTTGCTTTCACACTGTCAGCGTTTGTTTCGCGTGAGATAGACTTGACCCTCCCTTCGCCACCAAAACATTTTTCTATAACCCTCCAAAATGATTGTGAAAAAGGCATGACCCTCCCCGATCATGTATTGATTACTTCTGTACTGGACTGCGCATGGCAAAGATGTTCAGATATCTCTATGCCTAGTAGACCTACACCAGGCGTTCATTAAAAAGTGTCCTGTACAGGGCTGTACAGTGCGACATATATCTACCAAAAGATTGGTCTGTGCGCTGAATAAATGTGCCACTGCAGCACGCGTGAGATACAGTTTTATAAACTCTGTTACTTGTGTTTGTTCTCAGACATGATAACAGATGTTTTATACTTGTGCTAATGCGATATCATGATTTTTGATCATGGATCATTTAATAGATGATAAACAAACTCATAGTAGGGGAATCATCCTGGTAGTAAAGCTTGTGGGGGGACACTGCTGGAAAAAACAGCAATGCAAGTTTGAGAGGAACGCCTCCGACAAATCTCACGAGAATCACAACATGCTTTACGGCAACGACGTCACACACATCAACAACAACATATGAAGCATGAAGACACTTGCGCGCATTTCAGACGTGACACTCGACGATGGAAAAAGCAAAGAAAACGCGGTCGGTAGAGAATGAGCCTCTCTGCTCAACCCGTAAATTAATGCATCGATCCGCAAGTTTTGTTTGAGTTCTAGTGGTAGATCTTTTGTGTCAGAGGTTACAGGTTATACGTGTTTTTCTCTCTCATCAAAACTGAATATGTTCATCAGTGGTTACCGTCTATATCAAGCAGGGACACGTTTGTGTGCATTTTATTTTGTGATTTCACTGGAATGAATAAAGAGTCTCCGCAACTGTGATAGATTGAAGAGAGCGTCTGAGTGAAGACTACGCGCGTGCCACCACAAGAGACACGATGTATCCATGACACTGATAGCAGCATATTTAATGACAAAAATGCACACTATACAAGATTTGTGCCTTAATATAACAGCTTCAAATGGGTATCAGGCTGTGAGTGCAGAGACGCTCTGCGTGAGTGGTATTTACGACAGTGACATTAAATACAAGTACTCCACTGCGACTCTAGGGGTCGCTGTTTGACAAAAACTGAATTCCTGCATAGTGTGCCTTTAAGTCTTAAGATTGAAAGTCCCAATACTGTAAAACTCGACGTACATCCACATCACATGTTAATACAGCGTTAGAATTACACTCACAGGACACTGCACGTATTTGCAATCAGAAAAGTTCATTATTTGCTCATGCTTTAAAGCTTTGCCGGGTAAACATTTTATTGGCGTTCTGTTCTGACATGATGCACTTTTTCTAAACACGTACTGAAGCGTGCGTGCACTGTCAAACAGTGCGGAACTGGATTTTATCTTTTGCATCTGATTTTTGTTGGGTCAGACCCATCTGATAGCGATGGGGGCGAGACAGAGAGAGCTACATGGAAAAATATGCACCAAACAAGCCACCCTATTTTCCTTCGGTGGTCCTTTCCATAAATATCGAACGGTCCCTTATAGGGATGGGAATTGGGAATTCTCGAGTGGAACCGGTTCTAAGTTTTACGATCCATCGATATTGTATGCCCTCGATGTTAACGATTCCTCTTATCGATGCTCCTGCTCCTGACTCAACCATAGCATGTAGGCTATAGACTGTGAACTCACAACTGTCCCTGTTGTATTTTTTCACAACTGTCCCAAGCGAATTTTTGTACCGCCAAAGCCTGATTTGATCGGTGAGTAAAACTGTCTCTCTCTGTGATGAACCGCTGCGCTTGTGACAGTGCACATGTTAAAATGAACGAGCAGGGAGAGAGAGAGAGAGAGAGTACCCCGAACGTGCGCGCGCACTCTCTCTCAGGCTTCACCGTCTCAAAACTAAGCACTGTCTTGCTCTCTCTCTCTCCCTCGCACATATTAATCAAAATAATTGACACAATGGTAAGGTCAGGAGACTAAAGTTTCATGTGGAGCATTCGGAGATTTGTTTTTCCAGAATTACTGCTGGCCGTGAATTGTGCTAAAATAGTCCTCCATTGTCTTATCTTCTCTTAAAAGCGTTCCGCACATTCAGCTGACATAAACCACACTTCAAATAAACAAAAAAAAAAAAAAACGATCCAGGGATGAAATGTTTTCTTTGATGACACACATCTTGTAGGATGTCCCAACTGCCGGGATAATCACACAACGCGCACACGTCTGATGATGACACGTTCAATTCCCGAACTTATGACTCATTTGAACCGATTCGTTTTAATGAAGGGTTAGATCTTCCAACACTGAACTCACAAGACTTATAATCGTTGAATAACTAATCGTAAAACTTTTTAATAAGGTTCCATTTATTACATAAAAAACATAAAAAGTGCAGTTTGCTTAGTCAAGTGTAAGGTTTACAACAAATAAAACCACTTGTTTTCCCCCCTGAAAAAGCATATGACTGCTTTTTCCCACACAGTGCTATCAGGAATCGATAAGAGAATCGTTAAAGAATCGAATCGATAAGCAGAATCGTTAGTGGCATTGATATCGATAAAATCTTATCAATTCCCATCCCTAGTCCCTTAGTTTGTTCAGGTGTATTTGATAAGGGTTTGAGCTAAACTCGGCCAGAAAGTGGATCTCAAGGGCCTGAGCTGAGAACCCCTGTTATAAACCCTACATGAAAAACACATTAAAATTGCTGTTTGTTTTGTTCTCCACACAGGTTACATAGCTGTAAACTCACCGGTCAATCTTGTCGGAGTTTGTCTTCAGTTCTTCAATCCTCAAACGTCCTGAGAGAGCTGGACCTGAGTAACAATGACCTGCAGGATTCAGGAGTGAAGCTGCTTTCTGATGGACTGAAGAGTCCAAACTGTCAGCTACAGATACTGAGGTCTGAACTCAAATACTTGCATTTGATTTTATCTTGCATTAATTATGTAAAAATCACACTGCTAAGATGTATTCTGTATGCAATTATTGTGCATTGTGCTTTTCTTGTTCAGATGTGCCATGTGTAATTTCACTGCTCAGTCTTGTGAGAGTTTATCTTCAGTTTGACTTCAGTTACAACAGAGGATATAATGGGGATAAAGGAGAATTAATTTGTTACATTGATATAACACTTTTCTAGGTGCTGTCTATGAAGTAATATATCTAATAGACCAACGCTACTTTTGTGTCATCGAAGGGTAATGCCCCTTTTTGGGGGAAGACAAACGGATTCCCCTGAGAACAGAACTCGCTCTAGATCTGCAAAGTTTCTTGATAACAAAAATGGCACAGACATACACACTCTCTTTGCCGGCCGAGGACCGTGAGCGGTATTTAAAGAAACTACTGGATACGGGGTTACAGAGGTGTCCCTTTGAAGACTATTCAGACATCTCCCACTATCTCATGGAATCACCAAGTAAGTAGTCTATTTTTTTGTAATTAACACACTCACAGTATGACAAACTAGACGATGAGGCCATATCACTTGGACCATATTTAACTTGATTCAAGCTATTGACATAGTTTTGTTGTTGACTAGCTATACTAGTTAGAAAGACGACTCTGCTAGCTGCTACATGATTAGCTCAGTGCCGTACACTCTAAACCTTTTTACAATTTTCAAAGTCCTAGCACTTTCTAGACACAAGCAGAAACCAGCCAAGTCCACTTTAGTTTTTTTAGTAAAATCAGTTAACAGCCAAGGTAGTGTGCCTATTGAGAGCTAATCACATAATGTTAGCTGCTAGCAGCTTCGTCTTTCTAACTAGTATAGCTAGTCGACAACAAAACTATGACGCCATGTCAGTTGGATCATATTTAACTTGATTTAAGCTATTGACATAGTCTAGTTTGTCATACTTTGAGTGTAATGACAAAAAATAGGCTACTTGGTGATTCCACGAGATAGTGGGTGATGTCTGAATAGTCCATATTTGGCCACTGCGTGGGGTCATTAATCCACTTTTCGACCGTTTCAAAGGGACACCTCTGTAACCCCGTATCCAGTAGCTTCTTTAAATACCGCTCAAAGTCCTCGGCCTGCAAAGTGTATGTTCCTGCCATTTTTGCTATAAAGAAACTTTGCAGATCTAGAGCGAGTTCTGTTCTCAGGGGAATCCGTTTGTCTTCCATCAAAAAGGGGCGTTACCCTTCAATAACGCAAAAGTAGTATTGGTCTATTAGTGAAATAATTATATATATTTATATAGCTGTGGTGCGCAAACTGATAAGAGAAAAACGCGCAGTGGATCAAGCGCACGGCTGCACAGATGTGCAACCTGGTCGAGCGCAACCCTTTCACAGACATCAGTGGAAAGTTTGTTGTTCAGTCGGATATATAAATGGCACAATACAAATACAATGGCACAAACATAGAACCTGTATACAAATACAAAACGAAGCAAGTATTTACTAACTTTAACTGAAGAGAGAGAGAGAGAGAGATAGCCCACTTCTACTGTATGCTCTTGGTTGCTGATCGTTCACTCAGCACACGTGTCATTTGGATTAAAACTAAATCGTATCTGTAAGTAAAACATGAACTGTTACGTGATTTATGTATAACGAGTGGTTTTTTACATGATCACAAGAGATTTATAGGTCAAGAAATTTCATAAACGCAAACATCCGAAGCGCGTGCCCTGAAAGTGCCACTCACAGTGTGTGAATTGAATTATCTTTCATGTCTTGCGCTTTATTGGACAAATTCAAATAAAATTATTTAAAACATGCATCTTGGTGAGTATCCTGGTAAACATAGTTGGTTATATCTTTAATATGCGTCATCAAAGTAAACGCATGTACAGTACAACAGGCTCTCTTGGATGTGCATTCGGTCAGCAGCAGCCTAATAAAAGCCTAATGTTTCTGACTGTTAATCAAACTACAAACACAGTAATCACTCCCTGCTATTGACTGAATCACTTTAGTAACTTTATAAAAGATTCATCTATATTTAATTTATACAATGATGAATAGGCTTTTACATTTATTAATTTAGCAGAGGCTTTTATCCAAAGCGACTCACAAATTGAGAACAATAGAAGCAGTTAAAGGGTAATTCCACTGGTGGAGACATGAATATGTATTGAAATTGGGTCATATATGTAGTAGAATAGTATAATTTTTTTTTTAAATTTGGGTCCTTCTTGGCCAATAAAAGGCAGAAAATGACTTTTTAGTGCTTGTGGATTGCAACAATCCCCATAGTGCATTGCAATGCTCAGCTCCGCAGACCCCTCCCACTACTCCGCCCATCACTGTAGACTAGAGTTGAGCTCAACTCTACGCTACCGCCTGGAAATAATTTCGTACAATGAAACCAGATAATGTGCGCTAATATAATATGATGACGTAAGAGCATCAAGGCGGCCGGTGCACCATCAGCCAATGGGTTGGCATGATTCTATATGGGCTTCAGACAATCGGCACACTTACTCTGCGTTCGGGCCAATTACCAAGATCAGAGCCCTCTCCCCGGACAGCACGTCAAATATGTTTACCAATTAAATCTATCCGACTGATTTGTAAGTGTGAACTCGTGAACTAAAAAATCCTGATGTTTTCGGTGCTGATTCGGTGGTGACGCCGTGTTCATGTAACCAGAGGGTGACGCTGCCTATAACACAAAAGCTGCCACAAGGAACTGGCAAAAGTAATGCTTATGAATGTTTTAAATATAGCAAGGAGACATTTTAATTGTTTATTAGTGTCTGTCGGCTGCAATAGTGGCCGCAGTAGTTAACACACCTGTAGAGAGAAATGCACTTTTCATATGGATTACACAAGCAGATCACTCGGTTTCTTTTCGTTTTTAATTGTTTCATTTAAAATGAGACATTTTTAAGCTTTCTGTATATTTCTCGTGTCTGTGAGGCAGCTTAAACGCTGAGTTTCGGCTCATTTATGAAGAGCTCCAGTTCACGAGCAATGCAATCTCACTGGCTCCTCCATGTCCTAATTATATGGTCTGCTATATTTGCTTCTTATTTATTAAATCCAGGCAATTGGTTGATAAAACATTGATTAAAAATTAGATACAAATGATACAAAACGAAATAAAATTTTTAGAAAGGCTTTCTACAAAACAAAACTTAATGAATTGGTCAGAATCGTGTCTGACCCACATGTCTCCCGATATATTGCTGTATCTTGCAACACATCCTGCCTTGCCAAAACACACATGTGGGAGATGCGGAATGGATAGAAATAACTCAAAAAATAAAAGAGGACTTGAATAAGCCCATTAATGGCATTTTTGAGTCATGCTCTTAACGAACTGTTTTATTTCCTCTTTCTATATTGTGAATAATAAATGTGGATCATTTTAATGTGTTTGTTACACAATGGAGTCTAACTGATTGTAATAATTATTTGATGTAGACTACTTTTAAACTTAGAAGTATTCATTGGCATCCTCGCATACTAAACTGCATTTTTTTATGTTTGCGTGCTGGAGGTACGCTATTATGTTGTGTGTATGTGATGTTAACATTTAAACTGGTGAGAGAAAATGTCACTATCAAAGAGTCTAAAGAGGAAAGTTGAAAGCGAAAATAGCCATTGAAGGAATAAGAATAATGAAAAGACAACTAGCCCGTGTTGTTCACCTAGTTTTGTAAATGAGACGACAACCCAACTCACTAAATGTGTCTCTATAGCGTGCACTGTGTTTATCGTGCAATTTATATGCAAAAAAAATAGTTTTTACGTGCATATGATACGCATGGGTAGGTTTAGTAGTTGTGTCGGTTGCGTGTGTATTATACGTTGGGTAGGATTTAGTGGTGCGTGTGTATTACACGCAATAAAGTGCGTATCAAATGCATGAGAAAAACTGCTTATCACATGTAGCATACGTAAAAACTAATTGTCGCATATAAATTGCATGATAATCACAACGCGTGCTATAGAGATGCATATAATATTTGACATTTAATGACGGTTATTGTAGAGGTGTGTCTAGCGATCCACAGACTCGGCTGTGGCGCAGGCGTGGAGCCTAGAAACTCTGAAACTGAAACTCTCCTCTTTGGAGCCAGACATTCAGAAACTGATGTGTGAGAAGCAGCACCACTCGTCTCATTAATATTCACGTTCAGTTTTAGATGGAAATCTCAAAATATAAAATCTACAGATCTGTTAGTTGAGTAATGTACTAGTTTTTGTTTCATGTGTAAAATCCCAGTAATTTCAGTGATATTTGGACAGTAAGGGGAACATATTTTTCAGCATTTTATTGTTACCATAGTTACAACCATAGACTGCATATGCCCACCACCTCAGTTTTAAACTAATGGCTCTTTGGAATAACATTAAGTGAGACCTAGGCTGTGACAGTATGTTTAATTGCACTTTTTCAAATTAAATAAAATTCAAATAATAATTCCTGATCATATTATTGCATTTGTGTTTTAAGAATTAGCTTATCCTTACAATTTTGTTGTTTTTTGGGGGGCATGTTAGAGTGGGATTTGGTTAGGTGGTCCTCAGAAAAAAATTGCGAGATAAAGTAGTCCTTGGGCTGAAAAAGTTTGAGAAACACTGCTTTAAACTAACAATAGGAAAACTATATGCTAGTGGTTTGACCCCTCTCAGTTAAATTGTCACTGGTATCTAAACATTTGAACCACTGACCCAATCCTCAGCACTGAGCCCTGCTGGAGCTGCTCTATATATGTGCTGTGCAATTACATGATGGATCAAATATGGTAGAGCAACTGAACCTCTCAAAATACAGTTTAACAGGCTTAAGCATGAAAATAACTGAAGGAAATATATATTTACTAAACAAATCAAGCCAACTAATATGGTTTTAAATTCTTTTGGTTTCAATATATTAAAAAGTTACAAATGTAGGGAAAATACAGGTGTCGGTCTCAGCAAATACCAAAAATTACTTTACTTCTTACCAAAAATACTTTTTCTTCTGGAAAAAGTGGTATTTGTGCGTAAAAACATTACTGACTGCATTTAATTGAAGACATTTGGACATATTTCTGTGTGTATTTGTCCATTTAAGCACACACCTGAAGCTCAGAGTAGCCTATACTTGTCCGTGTTTTGCTCCATTATGGATTGCGTACACAGAAAGCCGCCTGGGGAACAGTATCTCGCTCACTGGTCAATAAACTTTTAACTTTACACTTCTTTTTAGTATCGAGAACACACAGAAGGAGACTGTGTATCACATTACATGATTCGTCTGATTTGAAAGTTATGTAGGAAGGGCGACAGCACACTGCTTCAAAGGAAATGGTGTTTTCATAATCATTCAAAGTAAAATTAAAATTTAATTAAATTGATTGTGGAGCCCTAATCATGAACACATCTTTGAGAGCAAGGGGGCGACTGGTGGTTTGGGCAACTTGTGTTCTTTGCATATAGGGTGGACCGGCTCTGGATATGTCATTGTCATGGTTAAAGTTAAAATCCCCCTGGTTAGTGTTTGTTTAATCATCCTCTGCTGAGATCTTGAGAGATGTAATCTTATGTTATATTCAGTTGATTTCGTCTTAGGCTGTGTGTCTGTAAGTCAGTTGTAGATTTTACAGTGGACACATATGAACACTGAGCAATGTTCATTTTACTCTGGGGATTTTGCTATGTGTGTTTCAGATTATAAACCAAGGGTTCTCATCTCTGGCCCTCAAGATCCACTTTCCTGCAGAGTTTAACCCTGATCAGACTCTCCTGCCTGCAACTTTATAGTAATCCAGATGACCGTGATTAGTTTGTTCAGGTGTATTTGATAAGAGTTTGAGCTAAACTCGGCCAGAAAGTGGATCTCAATGGCCTGAGCTGAGAACCCCTGTTATAAACCCTACATGAAAAACACATTAATATTGCTGTTTGTTTTGTTCTCCACACAGGTTACTTGGCTGTAATCTGACCATTCAATCTTGTGGGAGTTTATCTTCAGTTCTTCAATCCTCAAAAGTCCTGAGAGAGCTGGACCTGAGTAACAATGGCCTGCAGGATTCAGGAGTGAAGCTGCTTTCTGATGGACTGAAGAGCCCAAACTGTCAGCTACAGATACTGAGGTCTGAACTCAAATACTTGCAATTGATTTTATCTTGCATTAATTATGTAAAAATCACTCAGCTAAGATTTATTCTGTATGCAATTATATTGTGCTTTTCTTGTTCAGATGTGCCATGTGTAATTTCACTGCTCAGTCTTGTTGGAGTTTATCTTCAGTTCTTCAATCCTCAAACGTCCTGAGAGAGCTGGACCTGAGTAACAATGACCTGCAGGATTCTGGAGTGAAGCTGCTTTCTGATGGACTGAAGAGCCCAAACTGTCAGCTACAGATACTGAGGTAAATGGGTTTCCATTAAACAATTAATACAAAAATATATATTTTTACAATTTTGTCAACAAATCTGATACAATGCCAGAAGAAGAGACAAAAACAGCATTTGCATTGTTGTAATTTCCAATTTTGTTGTAATTAAGGAAATGACATTTGCAGTCAAAAAATAATGCATTCAATACTAATATTCATCACCACACCAATTAACATCATCACTGGGGCTTGACCTTGCTACCTGCCCTCTGGTGCAAAAATTGTACTTTAACATCGATCTTCTCCAGGGCCGGGTTTCTTGATAACGATGTATCTTAGCTCTTAAGAGCGCTCTCTACGTGCAAGGTTACGAACGATCGCAGCAATTCCACGTGCGTTTCCCAAAAATGCACTTAACATGAACGCGCGAGAACGCGTTCTACGTGTTACTTAAGCGTCGCTATCCATTCGCGAAGTGCTAAAATATAACCTTATATGGAGTCGTATTCTGAATGTTTAACCTAATAATTGACATTTGTTGTGGATTAGTAATCAAGACAAGTCTATATGGATATAAAACACCTATACAGGCTGACAAAATGGCTGAAAAAAAACCAAGAGAAGATAGGCTACCTTTCAAAAAGATAAAATTAATGTCTTTCTAGAGGAGATAGAGGGAAACAAAGATTTCATTTTTAACAGATTTAAAGGACACCATACAAATAAGGAAAAACAAAACATCTGGAAGGACATGTCACATTGCAAACCGTGTTCAAAGGTGCAAACGGCAACCGTGTTCAAAGATCAGGGAAGGAGCTCCACGAGAAATGCCCAATACATGGCTGGTTTTCGTGCACGTCAGCAAGTCAATGACAGATTTTTTTGAATTCATTCCTATTTGCCCGGTCTTAAAAGCATATTTCCCAGATTACTTATTTTATGATTTTTTTTTCCCATTCGTTTAATTTAAATGTGTGTGTTTATTTTTTCTTCCCTTTTTAATTATTTGATCTATTAATTACACAAAACACGAGTACAACAAAGTGTAAAAACAAAACCTAGCTATAGCCTATATTATAGGCTACTTACGTTGCAGTGTAATCTATTGAATCTAGATAAAAGTGTAATCTGCCGGTTGTCCTGCAGGTGACCTCATAACTCTGTCTTCTTACGATGCACTTGGGGATGTACGATTACTCCAGAGCACTCGTAGTCCTACGAAGATTTTCAAGTGCTACTTAAGTTACGATGCTTTTGGGAAACAGAACATAATATTAAGATCATTCGTAGATCGTTTTTACGATCAACTTAGGCTTACGATGCTTTTGGGAAACGCAGCCCAGGATGATTCCACGCATCAAAATCCCCAGTAATGTACACTGTTTATATAATCCACATTCAGAGTGTTAAAAAAGTAACACTAAAGCAGTGTATAAGTTGATAAGCTAATTAAGGTAAGAGAAATTAAAAATGTCACTTCAGGGTTTCACCCTATACCTAAACTTACTACTTAGGTGCCCTTTACCTTTACTGTTCCCTGCTGGTGGAACGACCTGCCTAAATCCAGGTTCACACTGTACGATTTTGGTCACGATTTGACTGTCAGAGACACATTTTTGAATCCTTGAAAAGATTCCTCTGCTCCTAGGTCAACATCTGAAATGTTTGATCACTAATAATACAAGTAAATATAAGAAGAAATTCTGGCAGTGTGACTTTACACTGACAACCGTCAAACCAAAAACCAATAGGAGCGCAGAACCCCCCCACCCAGATTTCTTTTTTTGAGAAAAGCCACAATCATAATTAATGCTATGATAATTAATGTTTTTGTTACTTTTAAGAATCTACAGAAAATAACAGCTGAAAGTACAAACTACGCAGGTCATTGTGTGAAAGAGACTGATGTGAATGCCAAACTATTGTCATGTGAACTGTTGCTGTATGTCTTTGTAGATTGTCTGGCTGTATGGTGACAGAGGAAGGCTGTGGTTATGTGTCTTCAGCTCTGAGTTCAAACCCCTCACACCTGAGAGAGCTGGATCTGAGCTACAACCACCCAGGAGATTCAGGAGTCAAGCTGCTCTCTGATAAACTCAAGGATCCAAACTACAGACTGGAAAAACTCAAGTATGTAGAGCAGGAAGAGCTTCCATTAAACAACTTCAAAAACACCATTGCAATATTCACTTCTTACAAATTAGTAACACTTTATTATAGATTACATGACTACATTTAATAAAGTTCTTACTGAGAATGTACAGAGGTTTAGCTCTAGTTATACTATGTGGTTGTTGAATGCTTCATTCTGATTGGCTGATGAACATTCAGAGGTGTGTAATTATTTTCAGTAAGCGCACAGGTAAAGTAGTTCTACCAAAAAGACTCAGGAGACAAGAGAACGACCGGGTGGTGTTGGGGAGGATGGAGATGAACACCGGCGTCAGTTTTTGCAAACGTAGTAATGGGTGTTAACCGGGCTTAAGTACTCCAATTGTCTGAGTGCTGATTGGCTAGATCTGAGGTCAATGAATAACATGATATTAGGCTATGTTTACACGGAAACGATTCTGAGGAGAAAACGCAAAAGTGGCGTTGTGTCATTACTTATTCTGCGTTTAGACGAGCGTTTTGTGTGGGAAATCCGCGTGCAAATGGTGACGCAAAAGTGTGTGAAATTCAATGTAGTATGCACTTCAGGCGGCTAGGAGTGCATACTACAACAACACCAAGTCCACGCGTCTGCGTACAACCTTCACTGTCAAGCAGACTTTTGCGTTTCTACCGTTTACACGGGAACGCAGCGGTGGAGCGTTTTTAAGATTTCCACTCTGGAGGGTGGTTTCACTTTTTTGTGTTTTTAAAGGAGCTGTATGTAAGATTGTGGCCAAAATTGGTACTGCAATCAGTTTCAAATTACTGTAGAGCGGTGTATCCCCTCCCCCTCCCACCTGACTCGAGGTTGCCAGATAAGATGCAGGATCCAACATTTTTTTTTATCCCACACGTTTGTAGCTGCAGCTGTGGTAACTAGAGCAGAGCTGGCAACCCGAATGCTGCAACACTAACTGACTTCGTGATTGGTAGATCGGTGGAGGGTGGAGCGTCAGACCAAAACACAACATGACAGTTGAGGGCTGCAACTTCACTTTTTAAATTACAATATCCTGGCCAGACTACTGTTGTCAGTGATATAAGTATTGGAAATGAACATGATTTCTTAATGTCTAGTGACATATCAGGGCCATTTTATGATTATTTGAAATAAATTTCTTACATAAAGCTCCTTTAAGCCTCAAAAACGCTGTGTAAACGAAAGCCACATCCGATAAAATATTTTTAGTTTTCACCTGTGAGCATTCTCGTGTAAACAGGGCCTTAGAGTCTTCCCAGTAGAACTTGCACTAGAGCTCCCATTTCTACCAGAAAGACTTGGGAGGCAAGAGAACTGTGACAAAAACTCAAAAACTTTTTTGTGTTTCCCTTTAAATGCAATTGAGCTGCTGCTCCCCGCCTCCGTTCAGAAGAGGGTCAATCCTTTACATGAGGGTCAGATAAACCGGCAATAACAAAACACAGCAATGATTTCACTCATCCAAAATCTCTGAAAAACCAGTAGCGGAGTGCAGCCTTACAGAAAGACTTGGGAAGAGGTTGCACTTTTAGATGCACCTGGACGTTTCTGAATGGTTAGTGGATACATTTGTGTTGTTGAGTTACAGGATTAGCTGAAGTGACTCTAACAGACAAAAGCTGGTTCGGCTGCACAGACCGATCGGTAGCTGACTTGAGCAGTGCATGCCGGCTAGAAATTTTGTCTGACTTGAGACAGCGCTGACGCCACATGATTATGACATATGCCATCAATGTACGCGAGCGATTCGAGAGTACCCCGGAGGACTGCGGCTGTCGAACACACCTAAACACTAGTAGTGACAGCAGCGGTTCCCTGTCACTGTTGTGTCCACACCCTTAATTATGGAGAACTTTAAGGCTTAATATCATTTAAGTGGATGAGAAGCGACTGAAGCTAGAGAAATGCTCTGAAAAAGCTGATGGGCCTCATGTTTTCTCCTTTGAAAGTGGAATACAGCAGAGCCGCACCGAGACCGTCACCAGCTCGTAAATTAGCCCTCAGTTTCACCCTCAGATTTGCTGTATCCTCCGCGGATTCCTCGTTTCCTCCTTCGCTTTCTCCGCGAGGTGTTGAGCGGCCACCGGCGGATACCGTGCGGAGAGACTCGTACGATTTGTAGAAGGGGAAGTCAACGTCCAAGGTGTGAGAGTTTGTGAATGAGTCCACAACAGAGATGCGGATGTCTAGGAGAGCTTGACGGGTGTAGACTAGACGCGTACAGCAGGTTAGAGACACAGCAGACAACCAGAGAAGAAGACACCAGAGCAACAGACGGCAAGACAAACATACAGGAGCCATCTTGGTCATGAACTGAGTGTGTGTGTGTGTGTGTGTGTGTGTGTGTGTGAAAGCATATTTAGTGATGTGAAACTCAGGAAAACACTGATGATGTTCAGACTCTTCTCGCACTGCATTCTGGGAGTGACGGAGGCCGAGCTGCACTTCCTCTCAGAAATATAAACGCATCAGAGACCACTATTACCCCAAATATTAATAACATATTTCCCCAATTTAATACAACACAAAAACTTTCATTCTTGGTGAAGAAGACGAATGATCCATTAATGCAGCGAGATTTGTAGCATCTCCTGAGGGACGACCAGAAACAAGCAAACATCTAATAAACACACACTCACTCACAGCCCAAACACACACACACTCACACATTCACAGCCCAAAACACACACACACACACACACACACTCACAGCCCAAAACACACACACACACACACACACACACACACACACAGCCCACAACATGCACACACACGCACACACACACACACACACACACACACACACGTGTATAATGTTCAGTCTAAGTTCAGTTGTTACATGATTTAGTGATGCTAATAATACTTGATTTAGAAGCGATATCTAACCATGAATATATAAAATATTGTTGTAATATTTACTAAATGTAATTGTCATGACAATAAAGTTTTCTGAATTTAATTTAATTTAAATTTTTTTTCGATTGCTAAATGACAGTGAGCACAACTGGAGCTACATGTGCTAAACTCTAACTACAGTCTGCACAGCAGCAGTTCATGTGGACCAAACTCTAGATCGTTTTTCAGTGCTTGAACACAGTTTTCAAAACTCTACACACTTATCCCATGACTTTAAACACAACCTGCACAACACTGTGGATTTACAGCACTTTGTTCAAATGCTAACACACTGCTGTCAAAACTGTGAACCACACATTCAAAACAGAATAGATTTCAGCCTTGTGCCTTTCACACACTGCTGATGTTCAAACAATTTCAGCTGAACGGCCGAACACTTGTGGCCGAATGCTGGAGAGAGGCAGGATTACAGTATTACAGTGTGTACCTTTAGTTTCTACCTTTTTTTCTCATTTCTGTAATACTAGACTATTGAAGCAAACTGCTAATTTTCAATTCGCTAGTTGCATGACAACGGAAATGTAATTTCCGGTTTGTCTGTGGTGGGCTGGAACACTTCCGGTCACTGCTTCCCTCAATGGCACTCGCTTACTTAACCAACCGTTCAGCGTAGTGAAAAAGAAAAACACGAGTCTTTGTGGTATTAAAACAGGTGTTGTACCGAATTCCGACTCGCGGACAAATCGCACGCCCCTTCGCGTGCGCGCGCCTCTCACATAAACGCGCTGAAGCGAGTTTGAATGCACTTCCTTTGCATATGCCTTTATCGAATGATTTTTCACACATCAAGCACCCAGATATTGCATGAAAGCTTTGTCTACACTTACAAAAAATAACAGACAGTGAACTAGAGTGGATAAAAGATGCTAACAAACAAAAATGCATGGGAGATGGATTCAAACTATAAACTTCGACAGGTAAAGCTACTATAATAAAGCTACCAGCTGTCAAAACATTACTGTTAATTTAACATAATTTAACTGAATGTAACTTTTGTGTGTAAAAACACGATGTGGTTCATAGGAAAATATTGTATTACTCTCCCCATTGCACATGAATATCATTAAAATAATAATATTTAAACTTTTTCCTCTCAGTGTGTTCTGAGTGTCAGTGTGTGTTATCTCAGTGAGGGTTGTGTAGTGTTGTTACTCTCAGTGTGTTCTGAGTGTCAGTGTGTGTTATCTCAGTGAGGGTTGTGTAGTGTGTTACTCTCAGTGTGTTCTGAGTGTCAGTGTGTGTTATCTCAGTGAGGGTTGTGTAGTGTTGTTACTCTCAGTGTGTTCTGAGTGTCAGTGTGTGTGTTATCTCAGTGAGGGTTGTGTAGTGTTTTCCTCTCAGTGTGTTCTGAGTGTCAGTGTGTGTTATCTCAGTGAGGGTTGTGTAGTGTGTTACTCTCAGTGTGTTCTGAGTGTCAGTGTGTGTTATCTCAGTGAGGGTTGTGTAGTGTTGTTACTCTCAGTGTGTTCTGAGTGTCAGTGTGTGTTATCTCAGTGAGGGTTGTGTAGTGTGTTACTCTCAGTGTGTTCTGAGTGTCAGTGTGTGTTATCTCAGTGAGGGTTGTGTAGTGTTGTTACTCTCAGTGTGTTCTGAGTGTCAGTGTGTGTGTTATCTCAGTGAGGGTTGTGTAGTGTTTTCCTCTCAGTGTGTTCTGAGTGTCAGTGTGTGTTATCTCAGTGAGGGTTGTGTAGTGTGTTACTCTCAGTGTGTTCTGAGTGTCAGTGTGTGTTATCTCAGTGAGGGTTGTGTAGTGTTGTTACTCTCAGTGTGTTCTGAGTGTCAGTGTGTGTTATCTCAGTGAGGGTTGTGTAGTGTGTTACTCTCAGTGTGTTCTGAGTGTCAGTGTGTGTTATCTCAGTGAGGGTTGTGTAGTGTGTTACTCTCAGTGTGTTCTGAGTGTCAGTGTGTGTTATCTCAGTGAGGGTTGTGTAGTGTTGTTACTCTCAGTGTGTTCTGAGTGTCAGTGTGTGTTATCTCAGTGAGGGTTGTGTAGTGTGTTACTCTCAGTGTGTTCTGAGTGTCAGTGTGTGTTATCTCAGTGAGGGTTGTGTAGTGTTGTTACTCTCAGTGTGTTCTGAGT